TTTCGACATCATTTTCGAACTCAGGAGGGGGGTTTACCCTGAGAACCCTCAGGAGGGGGGTTTACCCTGAGAACCCTCCTACCGACTTTAACACGCCAAGCGAAGCCCATCATATTCGTATTACATGAAACTATATTTCAATTACTGTTGGAATTGATTTTTCAAATGCACTCTCCACAGTTCGACTTGAAATTCTGTCCCAAACACGAATAGTGCGCTGGATTGTTGCTGCTCTCTTGTCCTCAGCAGTCATGTTGTCTGTCTCACGATCTTCTTCTTCCATCAACCACTCAGACTTCAGCATAGCCTTCAAGGGACCCATAACACCGACGTCTAGAGGCAGGCAGCGACTTGTCGAGTTCGGAGGAACCGGTTCAATGACACTAAATAGTGCTTCCGCGGCCTTGTCTTTGGCCTTTTCGGAGGTGTGACACTCGAGGTTGTCAACAAGCAGAACTGACGCATCTTCCACATTTTGCGCCAGCACCTGCTCCAAATACATCATCCAAACTCGGTCGTCCATCCACGCATTCTTCTGTACTGCATACACGTGAGGGCCAGGGTAGGTGGGTAGCTCCTTGTTCTCAATTGGACCACCAGGCTGGCCCTTCACGATGAACAGCATTGGAAGTTTTACACCTATTCATGCATTAGATTTTACTTTCAATAGAGCTTACCGTCGGCGCGGATTGTAAGGACCACTGTGATGCGTTCAGAATGCTTGCATGACTTACCAACCTTCGACGATTTCCCCTTTCGCGCATAGGTTTTACCAGGTGGCATGTCAAAGAAGACACCGGTCTCGTCAGCGTTCAGGATTTGGGAACGCGGAACATCATGGTACTTGTCCCAAAAATGCGCGGCATACCCCAGCTAAACATCGTCAAGTATTTCTTGGTGGACCTTGTTGACGCACGGGACTCGTTGGGACAGTCGTTCTCGCGTGCAAAACCGACGCAGAAGGCAGCACAGAGAGTCGTAGCCGGTCGAGGCGTTCTTCTTGGTGCTCAGGTACGTGGTCAGCCATTCGTGTTGGTTGCGGCGGATCCACCGCATCATGTGGAAGACACGGACAAACTTTTCTTCGTCTCGGCGCTCGTCGATGTAGGCAAGGAGGGCATCCTTGAAGGGAATGATGGTTTTGCGTCCCTGACCTCCCAGGGAGCCCTTGGAACCATGCCGTTTGCTGCGAAGGATAGCATGCTCATTGTTGCGCCAACCACGCCAAGTGGAGCGTGCGATTTGCATATCGGCGCAGAACTTAGCTTCGTCCTGTAGTGGTGAGGCATGAAAGTGGGCTAAGAGGCACTTGCGGTCGCGGTTTGTGTACCGGCGATACTGCTCCTTTGGTTTGACCGAAGTCATTTTGGACTTTGAGATGAAGTGATGTCGATGAAAATTTGAAATCCAAATTCAAATTAACCAATCACAGCGAGCTTAAAGTATGCCACGTGTTTTATCGACATGGATAAATTACATTGTTTTTGTCCAATCATATTGCCAGCACTACTTCGGGACAAAATGAATTTTTTTATTATTGCTATGTGCAACAGTCCTCGAACTTTTCCGCCCACCACTGTAGTATGAAACATCTCGTTTGGATGAAAATTGATGGTGTGACGGGTGTTTCAAAATTCACTCATCTGAGCAAGGTCATATGACGTAAGTAATAAAATACTTTGAAATTTCATTCTGGCAAATAACTTGTTTTACGTCAACGGGCAAACTATTACATGAAAAGCACAATACTTGTAACGTTATGAGCTGCAAATATTATTGCAGGTACTATTACTGTATTAATAATAGTATAGTATTATAACCAATCCATATGTTTTCGGGGGAAATACGAGAAACCTGTAATAGTTTATATTATTTGCGGCTAAATTACATGTACTGCTCTGGTCCGTAATGTTTGTACCATGTTTTAGACTTGATTAAAGTATGCATTTCGAAATATTTTTGATTATTCCTCTTTAACTCGATAATATTAGGAAATATATATTAATTATCCAAGGTTTATATCCCAAAATAGGCCAACGACGGTGGTCGCCGCATGCTGAGGCAATGCGAGCGCTGTGGATGCGCCTAGACTCAAGATACGGGTATGCCGTCAATGAATGCACTATAGTGCTATACAATCTAGTGCTATGCGCACTCAAAGTTTCTCTATAGAATTCTCCTGGAGGATTTTGTGCATGCTGCAACAATCATCGTCGCCAGACCTTGCATCAGTCCTCAAGACTACAAAACAAACGTACCAAGCTCCTCAGCAGTGTTAAGAAGTGTTAAGACACCAGATAAGGACTTTAAGCTTCGAGTGCACGTGATAACAACGATTTTGACTGACTGGTCCATAATATAGTCGGCCATATTAGCCTAAGTGAACCATACCCGGCGGGTCGGTTTATGCTGAAAAAAATGGCATGGCGCACTTGGCGAGCCATATCTCAACGATGTGTTGGGGTCTTAAACTTCTTGAACTGGCCAATCAAAGAGGAGATAGCCTTCGTCCTTTTGCACCAATTAGATTAAGCAACGGATACATTCCGGGAAAATGGCAAAACGTTGAAAAAAATGGTACAAACATTACGGACCAGAGTAGTACGCGTTACTCCGGAGTATGTTAAACAGGCATAACGTTTAAGTCGTTGCCGAGGTGCCGCAGCCTCACTAGGTCATTTCTTGTCGATGATGCGCTGGCCGTCTGTCGACACGGCCTGTGTCCTGTGTCACACACGATTTCGCCAGTGGCCGCCTGCGATACTGGCGTGGCCGTTGGTGGATGGAGCGTAGTCGGTTGGGGCCTTTCACAAGTTGATCCCCCCACCCAAGGGACGGCGGCGACCTTGATGAGTACTGGGGTCGTCTTGTCCAAAGCCCCGACGGACCTCGCTTCACGCCGCGAGTGCGGCAAATGCAGATCCGATGATTCTGAATCGACGCATTTGATTGGTCAGTTGTTTTCTGAAGGATACATGCAGAAGAACATGTTTCGAACATTTACTAGTAAGTTTCTCGGAAATTCGTTACAGAAATACTGTATCCTACCTACCTACCTCGATGCTCGATGCTGCGTGGCTAGTGCTGGCGGCGGCGGCCGTAGGGGTATCCGTAGCCTCCACCGTCCTGATTGCAAAGAACCAGCCGGTCCAAGGCATGTTGCTCTTCCTCTGGTTCCTTGGCCTCTTGTCCGTTGCTGTGGCGGGACTGCCATCGACGAACCACTACGACAACGATTGGTCCTCACAAGCCACTACTGGCCACAGACGAAAGCCGACAGTACCAAGGCACTTCATCTAGTCCTGGCAACTGCAATACGTCTCATCCTGCCTAAATTATCCCAGATTACCTTGGTCATACCCCCCCTACCAGGACTTGATGTCTTGTGCGAAAGTCTCAGTTGCGTAGTGCAGACACAACAAATATCATATACGTCATCTTGTCGTCGGCATGTGAACTTGTGTCATTGCCAACGATTCGTCTGGTCGAGCTAAGTAGCCAGTGCAACAGTACACAGTCGCCTTCGTATGCGCTACAGCGTCATCTACACCCGTAGGCACGACGGCGCCAAAAATGTTAGAACATGCCAATGCCTTGAGCTCTTCTAGTGTATGCTCCCCCTTCTTGTCCTTGTCAGCATGCCGTCGTTACGCTCCATGCAACCAATCACATGTCGATGTTGGACCCGCGCCGTTTCGTTAGCCAATCAACGACGCCCACATCTATATTTCACATGTTTGAATTGTCCATTCCGCCGGAAAGTAGGGTTACAGATGTACTCAGTAACTGTAAGCAATTTTGCGTTGTCCAGTTCGTCGACTACAAACCTCAAGTATTGCCATAACGGCAGGCACCATCGACCCGATGGGAATCGAGCAGGGTCGCATAGTAGATAGAGGCAAACAAGTGATGATTGATAAGGGTGCGTCTGGTGATATTTCAAAAATAATATTTCATTTTCTCGCAAAATGGGATGAACCAAACTATGCCATTTTCAAAATGGAGGTAAAAGGTCTATTTTGTAATATGGCCTTTCGGACCTCTTCAACGAGTAAATCCCACGTGGAAGTATTGGATTTGGGTTAAAACTCTTCGAACAAGACATATTCCAACTTTGATAACCAGAAATATTGCAATATTCAGTCGCAAAACCCCATTTTGGGGCCGAATTCAACAAATCTGATCAATATTGAAACATGTCTTGTTCGAAGAGTTTTAACCCAAATCCAATACTTCCACGTGGGATTTACTCGTTGAAGAGGTCCGAAAAGCCATATTACAAAATAGACCTTTTACCTCCATTTTGAAAATTGCATTTTGGTTAATCCATATTGCGAGAAAATGGAATATTATTTTTGAAATATCACCAGACGCACCCTTGTTGAATTCAGCCCCAAAATGGCGTTTTGAGCCTGAATATTGCACTATTTCCAGTTACCAGACGCACCCTAAAATAGTGATTATTGATACTATTAATAGTATGCACAGGATTGTTTGTGCAGCAGTTACTATACTGAAAACCATACAACATGACTTTCATTCGTCTGATTGCTGTTTAACGAATTCAGTATCCGTAACTTCGAATTGAAATAGAAATAAAGACATGGAGATGCTCTAACCGCCCAAAACATATGCAAATGGGTACTCTGTAGTGTACAAATATTAACCTTAAAATGTGGTGCACCTTCAACTGGCCGCTTGTTTAACCATGACTAACTGTTACTACAATTAATACTACGTAGTACTAGTACAGTACTACTATTATACAATTACTCCCACGAACGAATCATTGTGTTTCAATTTAGTAGCCTGGCGTCGTCGACCTGACACTGGTATATATATATATATATATATATCACGTGGCCTCATCTTCGTATGCCCATCTAGTATTATTACTATGTATCTGGTGCGTACTACTAGTATATGAGTGTACTATTTTTACTACACAACCACTGCGCGTTGCCGACACAGCTTGGAAAACTGCCGCACGGCGCGGCGAAACGAGGCTTCATCCGCGGCCGTGACCAAGTTCTGGACGAACGCCGCCTTATCTTCTGGCGCGACCCGCCCCGTCGAGTCGAGCACTGCAAACAACCCCGCAGTACCCGTACCCGTCAACGCTGCTTGGACCCATTCCTACACCAGTTTATATTATAATTGCAATTAAATAGGACGTACCCGCAAAGTCGCCCCGGGCACTTGAGTCAGACACACGAGCACCCCCGCGCACGACCCGTAGTCGGCATCTACCCGCGAAGGGGACAAGTGCCCCATGACACCCCCCAACAAGGTGCGCGTGAGCTGCTGACCTTGGCTAGTTACCCACGCTTCCACTGTCGTCTAGTATATATATATATTGATTGAAAAATAATCCATGAATATATATAGATAGATACAATAAAACACCATGAATTTCTAGTACATACGAACACCATGTATATAATATTTATAGATAGATAGTTACGACACATGAATATATAGATATATAGTATGACACATGATGAATATTTGTATAGATAGATACAAACAGCATGAATTTATATATATATATATATATATAGATGGGATATATAGATATTTATATATATGACGCATGTATATATAGATAGATAGATAAATACAAGCACGAATAAATATATAGATAGGATATGTGCTGCAAAATAAATATATATATCATGACAATATGGAATGATGAAATCGCCGAATGCACTGGGTCCATACGATCGTTCTAATCAATTGCATATGGATAGAATACACTGCTAGAATATAAATCATGATATTACGGTGTGATAGTATACATGCCCTGTGTGGATCACCAACACAAATACATATACATATATATATATATTTGTTGCATAATATATTGCCGTACGTTTGTATGAATCATGTTTGTTTCGATATATGTTAGAATAGATGCGAAGAATACACTTGAATTATGTACAAGTGAAATCGACGCAACGAAAAAATTACTCTGTTCAGGCACACAGCATACATACTACATGATACAGTTCAGATATTGATACTAAAACACATACAGTACGCACACACTGTACATATATCTCAATATAAGAGAATGACATATATATCTCCTATTGAAACCAATAAATAACCATATTCCAAATATAGTGTACCGAGTAGGCCGACGTGGGGGCGGCGGCATCCGTCGGAGTTTTCGTGAGCTGCTTCAGCATGAGCTCAAGGCACGAAAGGACGCCTTTGGTCGCGTCGTTATGTTGCAGATGCAGCCCCAGCAACGATCCCTACAACGTATCCCATCACTTATCAACTCTTATATATATAACAAGAGTTGTATACATATATATATATATATATATATATATATATAACAAGAGTTATATATATAATAAGAGTTGTATAGATATACATATATAACAAGAGGTTTATATATAACAAGAGCTGTTTGTATACATATATATATGGAGTAACAAGAGTTGTCTAGATAGATATATATAACAAGAGTTGTATATAGATAGATTTATATAACAAGAGTTGTATAGATATATATATACAACAAGAGTTGTCTAGATAGATATATACAAGAGTTGTCTAGATAAATATATATATATATAACAAGAGTTGTCTAGATAGATATATATAACAAGAGTTGTCTAGATAGATAGATATATAACAAGAGTTATATATATATATAAAACGAGTTGTATAGATATAGATAGATATATATAACAAGAGTTGTCTAGATAGATATATATAACAAGAGTTGTATATATATATATATATATATAGTATCGTCCAAAACAAAACAGCACGAAAAAAGGACGCTATGTCGTCATCACGTCTCAATGTGGCACACAGAATAACATACACGCAAACAGCATCTATCCGACCTGCCAAACATGATAATCTGACCTGCCAAACAACATAATATATCAAACGACGTTGTCCAAGCCCACAAGCACCTGTATATATATATAAAATGATATCAAAAATCCAAATTTTGATCTTAAAAATCCAAATCTTGACGTCCTCACAAGATATACTCTATCAAACTCCATCCAAAGCGGGTACATTTACGTCGTCGTACTGTAGTAGCACTAGTACCCCACTGAAAACCCTATGAATCATACTGGACTACTACCCCACGAAAACCCAATATTTCCACGAATAGTAGTAATACTACTAGTAGACGATAGTATGTACCTGGAGAATCGACGGCAGCAGCGGCACCGTGAGCCCCGGCAGCGACCGGACGTAGCGCTCGACGAGGTAAAAATACTCTTCGACGATATCCGGATGGTCCACCAGACTCTGGCTCAACACGGTGAACGTCGTATGGCTGAGCTGCGAGAATAAGTGGTCCAATACAGGAATCAAGTCGTTGCTGCTGGCGTTGCTGGCAAAGTTCTTAACAATTTGGTTGGCGCAGTACAGGTACGAAGACTGCGGGACGGCTGCGTAGCTCTGCACGAGCATCTGCGACAGAGTTGGAACCATCACCACCATCGCAGGCAGCCGCAGCATGCGCTTAAAGCAGCGGCAGCATCGCTCCACGACGTCGAAGTTGGACCCAAATACATGCAACGTCTATAGACAACAGAGAGAGAGATGAATAAATGAATATTCTAGATGTTTATATATATATATATATATATATATATATATATCACGACTATAGACAGTCAACGAGAGAGATGAATAATATTCGAGAAATATATATACATCACGACTATTGACAGTCAACGAGAGAGATGAATAATATTCGAGAAATATATATATATATATACATATATCACGATAGAATGCAACCAAATGTGGCCAAGTCGTATCGTGTACAATAGTAGATGGCCATGTCGACACGATTTTGGATCGCCATCATCATACACACTATATATATAGATAGTATTCCAACTACCGATCCATCAAAAATTATATACAACGTTGGGCAAACTCATGACTATATATATTATATATATATATAGGCTGAAAGAAGACGCAACTCTGGATAGATATAAATATATATAGAATATAGCCATCATGTTTTCATCCTCCGCAGCGCATTCATTCGTTCAATTTGGACGAGAATTGTAGCTGTGCTCCATCGAATGAGCAACCAGACAATCGACGATTGACCAATCAAAACGCAGAACACGAACCAAGTAGCCAATCAAACTCACGTTTCAACCTTAAATCATATTGTTTTCCATATTTGTAATTTTGAATCGTGCAACCCTGGAATTAGTATATGTGACCCATATTTTACATGCAAAACGCAGTACAAAGCATCGATTCAGGGATTTGTTGCCAAGCCGCACATACAAATCCAATTGTTGGCGCATATATATATAATATATATGGATTTAAAAAGTCAACCCGCCCACACATAAGCCCAACGTATGTATGTATATATATATATATATAAATGGATTTAAAAAGTCAACCCGCCCACACATAAACCCAACTGTTGGCTTAATGATAGACAATATATATATATATAATATACCAAAGCCGCACACACACACACAGCTCAACGATGGACTATACATATATATATATATATACCTGCTGAAACAGTGGAAACAACTGCTCCGACAGCGCTACGAGCGGGTGTTGCTGCTGTCCATTAGAGGACGACGACGTGTGATCGAAAATGCACATGAGACGCAGGAGGTCCTTGAGGATACCGCCGGCGGACGGCGGCGCCGCCGTGGATGATGCCGCCGTCAGAATTCCGTTCATGCGCTGGGCAATGGGAGCGACGAGCGCCTCCAACGCTGGCACAATCAGATGGGGGTCGCCCACGGATACGCCCTTGCAGATCCCTTCGAGCAGAATCACTTGGTCTTCTACGTCCAAGGCATCGCTGGCTTGTAGCTGGCCATAGTACTGCATCAAATCACGACCAACATGGGCCCAGCAGTCGAGGCAGAGACCGCGCAGGGCGGCCGCTACCGCCGTTGGCACTTGCCTAAGTAGAGGCATGATATATGGATGGATATTACGAGTTGAATAATAGCACGAGAATGAGTACATATTATTAGGGAGAGAGACGAGGTAAAAGTGAACGACAAACTACTACGCCAAAAAGCCAGCAACAAGGAAAAAAGGCAAAAGAAAAAACGATTTATTGCGCTTTCGAGTGAAATTTCATTGTGTTGTGGTTTCTCGTTGGAATTTAAATCGATTTGGTTGGCTACTTCAGAAGAGCTCAAAATTATTAGCCAATCAAAACTCTCTCAATCAAATTCAACCAATCAGATCGATTGTGGATCGGTTTGGTCGGCGCGATTTCATTGCACCCCCTCACCCCAAATTTGTATCAAATCGACAATAATGGCTTGCTAAATAACATGGTACTCTTTTGTACTCGATGAACTTTTGTATATACAAATAAATATACCGTGTTGGTGTCACCACGATACGATTCGAGATATTAATTTTTGAAATATAGATATGTGTTAAATGAGCGGAAGGAAGAATATTGAATGCTTTCTTGGTTGGGGGACATTCGGCACGAAATGTGCAACTTGAAAAAACTCAATGACCACCCACATATATATATATATATATATTTATTTATATAGATATATATAGATATGCCCGTTGTGTTGTGGGTATATACACACATATATATATGTGTGTAATCGCCCACAGAACTCCAATAGCATCCAGGATACAGACTTGGGATATTTTTTTGTGGGAAAATTCAAAACGACCTGGTCATATATATATATATATACCTCCAAGCGCCTCCACACCACACACTACATCTTAGACATACTAATGCAACAACTATATATATATATATAAATACAGAAATCGCCCCCAACATCCATACGATAGATACTATATATCAATTTCATTCCCTATAAAAACAAAAGTTCTTCCCAATCATACAAACACACAACTGAATATATATATAAATACCCCACAGAACACGCTGCCAATATCCCATATGATACATATCAATTCCCTATAAAACCAAAAGTCCGTACCAGTCATACTAACACACAACTAATTATATATATTCATAAACACAGATATTGCCACCACCATCCCATATATACTAACTACTATATATCCCCCATTCCTATGCAAAATATGAAAAAGTCGTGCGTACCAGTCGTGGTAGTCGTGCCGAGTGGCGCTCATGGTCACGGTGGCGTCCACAAACGTTAGCAGCGACGCTAAATACGCGGCGCCGGACCCCGCCAGCCACTCAGCGTACCGCGAAATCACCAGACAAGACGTGTACTGTATCGCAGGATGCGCCGGAAAGCGAGGGAGAAACGCAAAGATCGTGTGCAGGGGAGTCTCATCCATGGGGGGGTGGCCTGCCTTGGACGAGTCTAACCATCACAGGATACAAACGGTCGTACTCGTTTTTATAATATATATATATATATATATATATATATATATCGATGCAATGTCGGTTCCAGAGTTTCGACGAGAAATAGATAGATATTTATATGTGTATATATATATGTATATCGTCGAAACTATATATATATTTATTTATTTACCTTGCAATTGGAGCTCCACTTGACGGGCAATGGACCGAAAACTGTACAAATGCGCTTCAATCGACTCCCACTGGGCGTCGGGAGATGACTATCCCATACCAAAGGTTATCGAAATATGTAGAAATATTCTCTACGTATGAAATATTCTTTTTTTTTAATATTCTTACATATTCGTGAAATCATTTCAATATTTTCAAATTGAATCTCTTTCCCAAGTAAAAATAGATAGCTCAAAAGTACTAAAAAGACAACACTCGTAGATCCTTGTCTAGTGGTCGACACAAGAATATACACATCGACACTAGCACCTTGACACGTCTCGAACTATAAATGTATATATATATATCCAAAAACACCAATATATATATATATATATATATATCCAAAAACACCAATATATATATATATATATATATCCAAAAACACCAATATATACATATATATACATATTCAAAAACACCAATATATATATATGTATATATTCAAAAAGACCAATATATGTATCCGAAAACACCAATATATATGTATCCAAAAACACTCATATGTATATATATATATATATTCAAAACACCAATATATACATCCAAAAACACCAATATATATATATATATATCCAAAAACACCAATGTATATATATATATATATATATTACGTACGTCGGGGTCTGTGAGGATCGCGTGGAGTCCTTGGACACAATGCGCCAGCACCAAGTCCGTTCCAAGCAGCACACAGCAATCTTGGAGGATATCTCCCAATTCCATTCGAAAGTTTTTGAAATCTACAATCTCCTGTCAATATATATATATATATATATATATACTTATATATATATATATACTTGTACCTTGCTGTTTATCCGACGGGAGTTCGCGAAACCCGTCGCGAAAGCACATGGTGTGCATGCAAATGCGCGAGAGGTTGGTCAGCGACGGCGCAAAGTTTCGCAGCAAAGTTTGCTTTTGATGGACATCTGGCACGAACCGCAATGCTTCGGTAAACGCAAACCAAAACGGAATCGTAATAGCTGCGACTAGACATCGAGAACATCTGTTGTTAGCCGAGACGAAAGAATCCGGTTGCGGAGAGTGAATCCGTTAGCCGAGACGAAAGAATCTGGTAGCGGAACGAGAATCCGTTAGCCGAGACGAAAGAATTCGGTAGCGGAGACGAAATAATCCGGTAGTGGAACGGAATTCGGTAGCGGAGACGAAAGAATCTGGTAGCGGAACGAGAATTCGGTAGCTGAGATGGAGGGACGTACGCTCGGGGTCTGGGAACGCCATGCACTCGAGCAGTGTGTCGACCACCAGCACTTGGTTCATGGGCGAATCGCCCAGTAAAATGTCCAAATATACTTCGGCCATTTCGGTAAACACTCGGGCCAGGCCGAGGCAACATTCGGTGATCTCTATATACAGATATATATAAATATGTATGTACAGTATATATATATATATATATATATTATGGAAGAAGTACGAAGTATAGGACACTACAAGAGCAAGGGAGAATTCAACAACACTTTTCGTGGGATGTCGATGCACGACCATAGCGAACGAACGTAGTTTGATATATAATAGTTGTGTTTGATATATATACATATATATATAGTGGGTGAAACGCAAATATACACTAACTAGTAGATATATATATATATACATGTACACTAGTATATATGTTGCGTAATGTACCAAGATAGGAAGGTTGTGGATTATCACCAAGAAATCAACCAGTGCATTGCGATTGGTTAAAAGAATGAAGGGAAGTGTTTTATGAGTGGCTAAAACGAATAGGAAAATGTGGTGAAACTGTCATAAAGATATTAGTCTTATATGATATTTTGCAGGTGCGGCGAGTGCATTCAACAACCGCCGGAAAAAATTTCGAGAAAGTTAACCCATTATCGTTATATACATATATATATATATGATTGCAACGGCCAATACCATCACAAGCCGACCACACAATTCCATCGACCAGATAAGGCAGGCCACCCTCGACAAAACATCAAAAACAGCCAAAAATAGCAAAAAAACAGCGAAAAACAGCCAAAAACGAACGAGGTGGACTCTACCTTGGGCCGCCGCGGCAGTGAACAACGGTTTGAGCTGCATGAGTTGAGGGATGAGCCACTGAATCACGGGAAGGTCGACCAGTGTCGAGTTGTACGTGCGAATCACTTCCACGACCAAGTCCACGGCGGCGTCGAAGAGGTCCGAGGTATCGTCGAGGCCTCGGTGGAGGACCTGGATCGCATACGTGGTCAGAGGGTTCTTGATCACCAAATCTACACACACATGCATCTCATGAGACACAAAACTTGGACCAGTGTCTGCATGGAGGAGGCGGTGTGTGTGTCTCTACCCGGATGCCGCGCGTCGCGGTCGAGCAGCTTGACCCACTCGGCCATGCACAACAACGTGTCCTTGGTCGCGGCATGGCTGCTGCCGAGGTACACAATCACGTTCTGCGCTTCTGTGTACGCGACGCTCTCGACGGCCGCGAGCGTGAGCAACGAGATGCGGACGTCGGCGTCCCAAGGACCTTGGATCAGCCAGTCTAGGCCCTGTCCCGCCTCCATGTTGCGGACGAGGGCCGTGCCCAGCAGCCGGACAATGTCCCGTTCGTGGTGATGCAGCGAAAAGAGCGACGACAGTTGCGACACTTGGGCCGGGGTCAGCGTCAAGTGACTGATGGTTTGCGCGGCAAACAGCTGCACCACTCGGGCAGTGGTAGGCGCGTTCGCGAGGAAGGCATGGCTCACGGCGAACGCATTGGGACTGGTCTGGAACGAGCGCAGGAACGCGTCGGCGGCGCTGCGGGTCTGTCCTGTCGAGCTCGACGCGTACATAGCCTCCACGGCTTGCACAACACTGTCATCCATGGTGGTGGGGTCTCGGTTGTAGGAATGCAATTCTTGCAACGGAATGACAATGGCCTTCCAAAATATAATTGTATTGCGCCACCAATTCTATTAAATTATCTTGGCATTTATATTGCACGTCATGGCATGGTTATTTAAATTGACCGCCTCCGCTGGGAATTTGACCAATCAAATCGCGCAGATATGAAATGTCTGCACGACGATGGCTTCCTGCTAGAGCTAGGCGTGTGGCCTCCTCTACAAAGTGCCCATACTAGTACCCTTCCTGGTACTCACATGCATATGAGCTCAACGTACACGGATAATGAGCATGTCCATGGCGACATGCACGCGCAATGAGCCCACTCCGACGCAATGGAATGCCGAGGCCACCAGGGAGCACCTGCGTATGGCACACCACCCATCAAGTCGTCAACCTGGCAGTGCCAAATGCTTAGAATTGTTGAGTTTGGAGCGAGTATATAGTTACGACGACATGTTAATACACACAGCGTGGTACAAATTGATTAGACCACTATGCACCAGTTGCAAATCGAGAGTACAATAGAAAGATATTTATTGACTTGTGTTTGCTATATCATCGCTATCTTCCAATAGCCCCAGTGCCTCACGATGTTGGCACAGATAGACCGTGACATGATGATGTCCCTTGGACGTGGCTTCGTGCAGCGCCAGCGACGTGCATCCTTCGGTCCGGTGGGTGTGGAGAAATTTCACAACGTTCAAATGTCCATTGGCCGCGGCGCCATCCATGGCTTCTTTGGTACAAGTTGTGTGGTGGTGGAGATTATGGTTTTTCATGCAACCGTGCAAATACTCGACAATGTCCAGATGGCCATTGGTGGCTGCTTCGTCCATGGCCCAGGTCGTACAAGTCTCGGTTCGTTGCGTGAGCAAGAACTGGACGACTTCCAAATGGCCATTTTGCGCGGCCAAGTCCACGGCCCACGACGTGCACCCTTCGGTGCGATGTTGATGCAGGAACTGTATGACGTCCAGATGGCCATTTCGCGCTGCGCCGTCCATGGCTTGGGTCGTACATCCGTCCGTTCGATGGTTGTGCAGCAACTGGACCACTTCCAAATGGCCATTTCGCGCGGCCATATCGATGGCTTTACGGCTGCACCCCTCGCGCCGATACCTCATCAAGAATTGTACGACCTCGACATGGCCAAACTCGGCGGCGCTGTTCATAGCAAACGTCGAACACCCCTCTCGGCGGTGCTCATGCAGAAATCTCACTACTGGCAAATGGCCATTGCTGCTGGCCAAGTTCATCGCTTGGGCCGTACACCCTTCGGCGCGGGTAGAGTGTAAGCGTTGGACCATGCCCAAATGTCCATACTGCGCAGCCCAATCCATCGCTCGTCGCGAAGCACTCGTGTTGTGTGGACCATATATTTGTTCCAGAAACGTAACGATCGCGTGATGCCCTTGCCCTGCTGCCACGTCATAGCACAACTCGGGGGCGGCTTCGTCTAGTGGACGAATCATTTCGTCGTGGAGATGGGGGTGGCGGTGGCACAGCCGTAGGAGATCCAAATTACCCCCGAACGAGGCCGCCACGGGTACCAAGGCTGCAAACACGGGTAAATGTCGGCATAAATGCATCAGCCGACGGGAGCCATACAATGGCAGCCAAGATTTCAAGAGGGAATTGACGCTTTGAAACGCGGCCACGGCGGCGGCGTCGCGACCAGTGTCGCCCAGGTCCTGGACGATATTTGTCCACACGGAGGGGCTCATGATGGTTCGAAACGGCAACAAATCCTGGGTCAGTCCTTCTTGTTGCTCGAAAAGCATAGAGATGAGCTCGGGCGTTCGAAGCACCGTCGATGCGGCGGCCGCCATGCGATGATAACGATGGACGATTGGTTGACTGTGTGTGTGTCGTGGAAATGATGCTTATGCGACTGTCAATACGAACTCCCACGAGGCAGACATGCATTCACAGGCAATCAACTGTGAGTGATGGTGGGGCTACTGTGGTATATTGCCAAGTTCATTGAAAAATGGTTTCACTTTTGAACAGTCCAAATTTGCGTGAGTAGGACAATAATGACGTTAGTGGTATACTTACTGTATGGCTTGAGACTGACTCCAGGATTACAACAGGGAACCAATGTTCACATGACTCATAAAATTGATGCAAACGCAGGAACCAAAATCACCGCGCTCGACGATGGTTGCCACCTATCGGCCCGTTTTCCGTAACGTTGAACCGCCTCAACAAATGGAATGTTTCACCGCACAATCGATGCGATATTATTACGATGTACAGTTAATATTTACGCTCGTATGTTGCTAATATCTCTCGTAAATTCGTACTAGTAGTCGACAGAAGGAACATTCCTTGATTACTACAGTCGAGTATCCCACCGTTTGGTTATGGTTGTAGCACCGTATCGATAACCCAGTCGAGCCCTTCGTACAATCCGTCGCCTTTAGGTGCACAACACCCCTGGACGAACCATCGATGATTCCGCGTCAGTGCTTCCATGTCCAACGCGGCGGTAACTTGGTCGGTGGTCATGGCATTGGGCAGGTCCTGCTTGTTGGCAAACACAAGCACATGCACATTTTGCATGAGTTCGTCGGCCAACGCACGGTGCAGCTCGTCGCGCGCCGTGGATATGCGGTCGCGGTCGTTCGAGTCGACAACGTACAGCAGGGCGTGGGTGTTTGCAAAGTAGTGACACCACAGCCCCCGGCCTTTGTCGCCCGTTCCAACGTCCCACACTGTAAACTCCAAGTTCCTGTACGTGACAGCCTCAACGTTGAATCCGAGGGTGGGGATCGTCGTCACCACGTCGCCCAGCTTGAGTTTGTACAGGATCGTGGTCTTGCCGCCTGCATCCAGACCCACCATGAGCACGCGAACGTCCTTGTTCGAGCCAAATAGTCGGGCTAAAAACCGGGATACCAGTGACCCCATTGAATGTCGTCAGTCGGTATATGATGCCGCCGTGATAAAAGAGTACTGCCCAGGCTGGGTAGGTAGTTAGTTTGGCGGGAATCGCAACACCTTGGCCACTTACGTGGACACTCACAATGACGTGGGTGCGTGTGATTGGCGGCGGCGGTGAAAGTACTTGTCGTTACCAGACTTTTCGGTTACAGAGTTGCCGTTTTACTTAGAATTGGGATGTCATCACGTTGTATTAATTTCGTTGCTGAATCGATGGTGTACGCTATTCCAAACCGCTTGATACGTGGTTGGTCACTCTTGGTGCTGTACACAGGGTTTGTACGAAGGGTTGTTGGCTCGATAGCTTTCGGGGGTTTCGGGGTTTGATTTACTATTTCATCACGCGGTTAATGATTATGTTAACATACCATCGCTAATAAGCTTCTATATCCGAGCATAGCTCAGTTGGTAGAGCGTTTGACTGTAGTGGAAAATCATGCTGGTTTCAGTATGACATTGGAAATCAAATGGCCACCGGTTCGATTCCGGTTGCTCGGACGCATTTTTACTACCGGTAGTTAATTTCACAATCTTCTATCGTTCGTCAATCGAGTAGAGCTGAGCTAATATCCAGAAATAATGTGTAGCCAATCAGCGACAAGTAATTTCAGATTGACCAATGGGAGGGTTGGTGCCTAGTTCGGTCGGCGAGATTCGATTCAACGGGGCCAGGGAATTCATACCGATTCTCCAATATGGTTACCCGAAAATACTTGTTTTTTTTGGCTTCTAGCTACGTTTCATGCGAATGAGGTAAGTTGTTTGTCCATTGATATTTATTACTGTTGACACATATGAGCCATCAGTATGCAAGTACTTGGTACTGTACTACTGTAGTAGTATTAATGAGCAGCGAGAGTATCGATCGACCAATCAAAATCCACAATTTGAATCAAGTGACCAATCATATCTCCTTTCAACCATTCAACATTGAATTAGTGTGTGACTAATATTAGTGTGACACACGCACGTGTTTTACATACAAAAAGCAGTAAACTTACATCAAATCGATCAAGCAAACTCAACTTTTGAGCAGCAACAACATGAAGGACGATGATGAAAGTACGAAGATTATGATTGATCAAAATTTGGGATGTTTTCGCATCGACTTGACGAGCCAGTCCAGGCCTTGGTTTACGCCGGCTCCGGTCACGGCGCTGCCAACCTGCAGATGCCACACTTGCCGCAGTCGATCGAGGTCCATCTTGGCACTGATGGCGGCGGCGTCCAGCGCGCCGGGAAAGTCTTGTTTGTTGGCAAACACGAGCACAATGGCGTCGCGAAGGTGGTCTTCCCACAGCATGTGATGCAGTTCTTCGCGGGCAGCGTCCATGCGCGCGATGTCGGTCGAGTCGACGACGAATACCACGCCTTGTGTGTTGGGACACATGGTGCGCCACACGGATCGGATCTTTTCGTGGCCCGAGAGATCCCACACGTTTAGCTTGATGTTCTTGAACTCGACCGCTTCCACGTTGAACCCGATCGTGGGAGTCGTGGTGACCGCCTCGCCAAGCCGGAACTGATGCAACAACGTCGTCTTCCCCACACCATCCAGCCCGATCATGATCAACCGTGCCTCGATCTTCCCAAAGAGCTTGGTCCACACACGAGAGATCGTACTACCCATGTCCACCTACGTAGCGATGGCGACGACGCTCGCTCGGCAACAATGAAGAATTCTCGCAATTTTGCTGCGAGAAGGAAGCAGAATCCAGCGTTGTGATTGGTCGAGCCATGCAGAATATAGCCATGCAGAATATAATCTCGAAATTGGCATCTGGTATTGATATTATATCAAATACTATTAATAGTATCAACATCAGAAATATATTAACATATCCTTTCGAATCGAGATTTGCATCCTTATGAGCGGGAAATATTTGACCCATTATCCATACAATAGGTTGCAATAATTGAGCTCCTCTCCAACATATATGTTGCTGGCAGAGTACATATGACAGCGTCGTCTACTTTACTGGTCTAAGCAACTTCTTCAACTACTTTTTCAGGCTTGTCCAAATCCGTGAGCTGCTTCGGTCGAACGTTAGCGTAAACCGAATGACGCCAGCCTTGGTCCTTGAATGGGTTCAATGAGCTGTTCACACAGCATCACTGGTAAGCTTACGCAGCTGGTTGTTCATGTCTTTTTTGAGAAGATCTTATGTCTACTACTACTACACTACTATATGCGTGGGTGGCTTCGATGTTCGGGAGGTCGGGTAATGTCCAAGGACCCCTGTAAAGCAAGTGGCAATCTTGGTCCGGTGATGGCCAGAGGTTTTACAGGAATACTTGGAGTGAACCAAATATGTTTCGTTCGAGGGAGAGGGTTTGTTGAGCTCATGGTGGAGTGTCCTTGGGATGTACATACATACATCGGGCAGGCTAAAATGTGTTTCTTCATGCTGTGCACAATGGCAGCGGTGGCGGCGGCGTCGTCTGACTGGGGGTCTTTCAATGGAGGTGGAGGTGTCCGTGTTGCGGACAACCCACGTCCATCTATCGGCGTCGGAGCGCCGCGGACGACGTCCAGACAGACGACACGTTGAGGCACCTAGCCGGAATCGTCGCGGTGGTGGTACTGGAGCAAGTGGCGGCGGCGGCGGCGGGCATCGTGGTGGAGTGAGGGCTCGAGCGCAAAATCGAAAGTGCCTATTGCCGCAAAAAGGTGGAATGCACCAACCACACTTTCTTAGAACGTTCCCATTTCGTCCATACAAAGTGCAAGTGTAACCAGGAATGTATGTCACTTTACAACTAGGCGGCGAACCAGTCCTTGCTGGTCCAATCACAAATTGCGTTCTATTATTCCACGAGTTTTGACAACTACAGTACAGTTCTACTAGCATTATAGTAGGCGACATGGCACCTGCCTTATGCTGAGGTAAAGAGGTTCGACAAACGGATGAGATGTGCTTGTTGTTTGGCTGGTTGTGGCGCAATTGGGGTGTATAGCAAGGTTAGTTAGGTGGTGATGACCTTGGAAGTGGAACCGAAACAGCCAACAATTTTGGACGACATATACTAGTACAGTATTTATATTGAGTGATGGTCGAAGCCGGTCGTAAAAAATTGAATATGGCGCCACTGTTGTGGGGTTGTTCCAAATTAATCGGACCAATCAAATCCGTTGGAGATCGCGCGAACGCGTTTGATTCGTGGAAAACAACGGGATGACGACGACCGGGGGGTGCGCTGCCTTGGAGTAGATTTTTGGTTTTTTCAAATATGTAGTAGTCCGATTGAGCAACTCCAATTTGTTATTCCTGCCACAATTGAAACGAATATGCAAGCAACACACACGCCTACCGCGCGGACAGATCCCAGTGCACATGGACGCTGTGGTAGTGGCCCGCTTCGACCCAGCTTGTGGGGGCTATGATGCGCACTTCATCCCTACAGCCACAACCAACAACAAAGCCGAGTACGATGGCCTGCTACGAAGCCTTCAGCTAGCCAAAACCCGCGGCTACACCCACCTTACGGTATATGGGAATAGCCAACTGCTCGTGCGTCAAATGCAGGGTATCTACAGTGTGAGCCACCCCGGGCTCCGCGTCCAGTGCCTCCAGGCCCGCCGCCTGGCAGCCACAATCCACTGTACATGGCGCCATCGGCCTCAGGAGGGAAATCAAGGAGCGGATTTCCTGTCCCGTAGCGCCAGATGATTGCTCTTCGTACACCTCCTTGGATGGGCCAGAGTCCGTTCCTCTACCATCACGGCAGCTTGCCCCACAGTACGATTTCCTGGACCTGGATCTCGCCTTCAACCCTGGGTAGCTCCACACCATTTTCCCCATTAGTGTAGCTTTGTCTGTATAATCTGACCAGTAATCCATCAACATCATCAACCAGCACACACGCCAAGTGTCCACTCGAAAACACATTGGATCAGGGCAACCACGACCACGACGTCCAACTAGTTAACGCCACTAGTAACGTTACATGTCCTGCACACCATCGCTAAACACAACAATATCGCATTCGCCACGTGCACAAGAACAACGAGTGTTGTTTCTGTACACAATATACAGTCATTGAGCCTGTCGTCCAGCCGTGGCTAATGTGGATGACAACATCCACAAACTTCTCTCGCGTGAATCTCTTGTTTCCGTGTGTGTTAATAATCGCTCCAGACGCGGCTGTGGTCGTCTACAGTGTGCATTTCAGACATTTGCAGGTGCTGACGTAGTATATATTACTTGCCAATGCACTTTCCATCGTTGTGTACGACGTGCTTGATATCGACTCTGTGCACTGCCAAGTACCAGGGTCGATGTGCTGCTCCTTCAGTACCTCCACGGCTTGGGATACATACAAGTACATTTGCAAGCCCCCGACTGACGACTCGATTATGATTCGGGACATGATGCGTTGTGGTGGCCACTTGCACATGTTCAATACCACTTGCTACCATCAATGGCACTCTTCTGCGTGCACAAAGCCATCGCCTCCCAAAAACAACTTTCGATTGTCCCAAGCAAATCGCTGTACAACGACACTAGCGGTCTGCGCAATCTCGACGAGTTGGTCGTCGTTCACCAAGTCGCGATGCCTCAAACTGCTCAAACCGGTCAAGTCGTCGGCATGCAGTGGCTTCTGGACATGTACACTGAGGGGTGGCGTGGCAGGAGTGGTGCCCTTCAGATGGTTAATGTGCATGTGGTTCGACATCTTGCGGCAGCATTGCACCAAGCAGAGCACGACGACGCGATCGTTCGCGTGATCGTATATCATCAACTTGTTGCTCAAGTGTGTACCCGTCTTCCCCCTGCAGGCCGTGGCACGATGTGACGACTAGTCCACACTCAACGCCATTCTAGCTCCGTAGCGGCAAAAGTTTTAGAGTCCAACTGTATGATCCATAACGGTTTACTTGGCAGATGCAACTATTGGAGCAACGGGGGCGCAGCAACATTGACAGCTAGAACAATCGAAGCAACGGGAGGGGGGGGCAAGGGGGAAATAAATGCGTAAGAAAGGGGAGATATATAGTGGCAAGTGGTGTTCCAGTAGGATGATAAATTGCTAAATTAAGTGCTTGAAGTGTGAAGTGTCCCTTGTGTACAAAAATTGTTGATCAGCTCGACATAGAGTAGTCAATTGATGTGCGAGCAGGACGGTTTGCGGAGGTCCAGGGATCCCAGCATATTTGACAGTATGTCCTGTGATCCACCAGCACTTCGGTCACAAGCTACAACGCCGAGCATGAAACAATTAGAAGTAGTAATGAGTTGCAATGGGAAAAAGAAGTTGGTTTCAAACCAGAATATTGTTTGAGTTAGGTTCAAAATTTTGAACAATAGCATTGGCGTCACGCCGCAACTGTGGAACCATGACGTGTCTGTAGTACTAGGATGCATCAAGGAAGCAAGTACCCAACGTAGTGTATTTAAGAAAGGAATTGACGAAAAAAGATAGGTCCTACCGGGACTCGAACCCGGAATACAAGATTCAGAGTCTTAGGTGCTAACCATTACACTATAGGACCGATATTATCGTCGATGGGTGAAGCAAGCACTCAGTAAGTGTATTTACTGTTATTGTGCTTTGCACTTCTTTTGGCGTCTGCTTTACGTGGCTAAAAGAGTGATACTTCTGCTGTAACTGTATTACAAAGTTGAATAAATACCTGGTGTTTTAGCTAATTCACTGGTTTTATAATTGCCAAATAACTCTGAGCAATAATAATCACATGTGATGCTGAAGTGACCAAAGTGACCAAAACACCTTGGCTGTTTTTCCATCGCGTAGTACACGCTACCTGCATGTCCTATGCGATGGAACAAGAAGATGGCGTGTTTTCTACGATGTGACACCATACGTACATTGCTGTACGGTAGAACTTCGTCGCAATGTGTCATTTGTACTGTAATATCAAAAGTTGTTCACGATGACCAGTGAGTGAATTGTGCGATTTGGTCCCGAGAATAGCAGATATAACTTCGATTTGCACTTTTCAAATGTGCAAAAGTGAGGGAGTTGCATAAATAGCCTCCCTATAATTACATTCTGTAACGAAACGTGACCCTAAATCACTGTACGGATTATATAAAACACTGGGGTCGATGTAAAAACATCCAGGTTTATGGTGTGAATAGCCAAAACGAGTGAAAAGCACAGTAACTGTAAATATAAGAAAGAAATTCACGAAAAAAGATAGGTCCTACCGGGACTCGAACCCGGAATACAAGATTCAGAGTCTTAGGTGCTAACCATTACACTATAGGACCGATACGTTTTTCTTTCAATTGCGTCACATTGATTCACAAACAAATGATTTAGTATCGAACGTTACTTTTGCCCTTCTCTGTTGTTGCCCAGGATCAAATAGCAAGACATACTCTTGTCTTGGATGTTAGCTTCTATATGCCCGAAAGATTGTTTGAACAGTACTTCCCGCTACATTAACTGATTCAACTTTCACTTAATGTCAAGGGATTGTTTTCAATTGTTTTGGCACAGGCATACTATTCGAACGGCCACATTTTTTCACTCGGAGCAGCCGGAAAGCATTCCCCGATCGTTCTCTCTTTCCACCAAACATCATTTTGGACCAATCACGTGAGCGAATGCAATAATGTGTGAAGTCATCAGGTGGATTCTTTGGCAATTGACCTTATGACGCGCCGAGTTACATTCACTCTGGAAAGCAGGGCACCAGTACATACATATTCTCATCTCATAATTAGCCAAGTTGGCATCCTTCACGTGCGCAATGACAAGGCTCATGTTTGTTCGCCTGACCTATTGAGTTGGTATTTTGCATTATTGTATTTGACGATGCCATGTTGATCCAGGAACTCGATTTGATCGGTGTAATTTTTCGATAACGTTACGCCACTCTTTCCAAACTACTACGTAGTAGATAAGATTGCAAATAATTTAAACCGTTTCACGGATACTGAACACACACATACTGGATTCCTGCATGGAAAGTGATAAAAAGCCATCATTTTCAAATCGTCCACGCACCACCACCACCACCTCGAACGACAACATGCGCAACTTGGCCAAGTGTTTTTTCAACGGCTGCCCCCACGAGGCGGTCATCGGGTCGTGGAAATGCATGTTTCACATGCATCGATTTATCTGCTCCATGCCCCACTGCCGCAACCAAGTGTACGCCCGCAACCGCTGCGTTCGTCACGGAGGGAAAAAGCGTTGCGAGGTCGACGGATGTGTCCTGAACCGCCGCCTCGGGCGCTTTTGCGTTAAACACGGCCCCCCCACCTCAGTAAAACTCTGCAACGAACTGGATTGTTCAAAGCATGCCCATTTGCATGGCAAGTGCGTCCGCCATGGCGGGGGCCGACGTTGTTCAGTGCTGGGATGCCCATCGCATGCATTCGACACACGCCATCCAAGTTGATAAAGCCCCGTTTTGAGGACTACGGAGCCCCCCAAAGCAGCAGCGACAGTGTGGACGAGTCCATTTTGGACCTGCTGCTGCAAACTACGCCAGCGTTTACAAAAGATGACTTGACAGGGCCACTGCTGGATTGGACCTCTGTGATTGGGGTGATTGAAGACGCGTTAAAGTGGGATGACAACACCGGTCTGCTGGCACCCCCAACGCCCAAATTCCACGCGTTTGATTAAACGACAAAAAAATATTGTTTCAGAGACTTTTAGACGTGGTGTTGTTGGGGGTAGAGAGAGAGATACGTACGCAATAACCATAATAAAAATGACCCAAGACTAAGATACAGTAGTAAATCTATCACGATAAAGCGCGTGATCTACGAATATGTGTGGAATACCCCATAAATATTAGTATTGATTGGACTGCTTCGAAGTACTTGATGGGATACGCATTACTGGTAGCTAGCTGATACAATAATAGCCACGCCACGTACAAGATTGTCATATTCAACTATATTGGTGGCGGCGTCCGCGATGAAATGAAGATCATTGTAGCACACAAGAGGGGGGTATCACGGGGTAAAGACGCACATAAGGTGTGGTGTTCTTCTACAGGGCTGGAGCAGCACGCATGTCAGACGAAAGCGGAGGATTTGGCGCAAACATGATTCCCCGCCCAACTAGGAGGAGAATGGGGTGGTAGAACTAGGAGACCATGCTTGCCGAGGGCAGTGTAAAGGTCGTCGCGGAGGCAGTTCCGGTGTTTTGCATGGTACTACTGTAGTAGTAGTATGATAGAGCCTGCAAAGCTGGCACAGCATTGAACATGGAAATTGCGAGTTCAAGTGTAGTGATTGGGCGCAAAGAGAGCTACTACTCAATTACTTGTGGAGCTGATAAGCTAATGGCTCCGCTCACTTGCCCGATCGGTCCGAAATCCCAGGTTTGCCAGCTGCAGCTTGATTGCCCTTGGAGAGAACTGGTGACCATCCGTTCTCCCTGGCCACAGCTCCAATGTCAGTCAACCGCTGGATCGGAGCAAGAGCCATGAACTTCAGGGCATCCTTGGTGATCTCGTCTCGGGCCGACGCTTGCAGGGCCGCCCACTGCTCTTTTGTGAACCCCTCCTGGCCTGCTGCAGACACCGCTATCTCCCGCGTTCGCGAGCTCTGCCCATCAACTTTGACTTCGCCCGTCATTTCAGAAATGACATGTGAACGAAATTTTCTCTCCGAAATTTTCACTCCAATGTCAAGATTACATTCACTCTGGTTTTGAACTGTCACCCGCTGATTGGACGGAATCATAATTCCACAATCGGCCGACACACACATTTCATGAAGCAGATCGGGCAGATCAGACTGTTACTGGTGGATATTTTAGGAAAGGACGAGGTATGATTGGCCACGAGCACTGGCGTTCTATTGGCCTGACGACTTGATGCTCCTGGCACAGGCGTTTGTGAGAACTACAATTGTACCCAATGAATGAGTTCCAAAAATACACCAGATAACGTTACCCTTAACGCAGAAGACAAATTTAAGGACGATTTTCTGGAGGCTGTCTGTGTCAGAATCACCAACGGAAATAAATATATTGGAACGGCGGATCGTGTGTTTTGCGTTTTTGATAGTTTCAGGTTGACAAAAGGGACCAACGGTCTCAACAGCAATTATATTGTACAAAAATAGATTCGAATCAATATTTGAGTTGCGAACCGAGTTTTGGCTGTTGTGAGATTCTTAGATCTTTATTCCACAAAGACATTTGAAATTCAAGTCTTCGATTCATATAGTTTCTCATTGCTACTAGGTGATTTTGATTTCGCAGCTCCGAGGACATGGCTGTACTCTTTGAGGTTTGTCGCTCATCTCCAATGTGATGCAAAACAATTTGCATTTGCGTTTGTGTGCAGCCTTCACTAGTGATTGCTTACGACCAACTGTTCGGATCGTTGTTTCCTTTTAAGACTTGCGAGAATTTGCTCTCGATGATTGTAGTAAAACCTTTTTTTGGTTCGCGAGCATTGCAGTATGTTTCTCTTCAGGTGTTGTAACTTGTAATTGATGCTATTATACAACCTCCAGACGGAAATCAACTGCCATAACAAAATTGTTGAAGGACGAAAATAAACCAGCCGCGTTTCATTTTGCGATTTGATTCTGACAAAACACTCCTTGACGTTATTCTATACACTAGTACGATATGAGTTTCATTATGGAGGACGACTATTTTTATAAAACCTATATTATGTTGAAACTTATAAGCCATTCGCTATATATTTAATATACTATGGGGTCTCTAAATAAAGTTAAATGAGCGCATCTTCCGAACCATTGCATTCAATTGAGTCAAATTCATGAAAATCCAAATCATGCATCTCTTCATCGATTATGATGCTATCCATGTATCGTTGATGGTGCTTGGTTTTGTAATGATCATTATAAAACCCAACCGTAGATTGTGCACCATTATCGCAATTGATAATTTCAATTTCATGGGGTAGAAATGGACCACCCCACGATATCCCTTAGATGGCCTTTACAGTACTCGTGCAGACTGAAGTCGAAGGTCCCAACACTTAACGATAAGAATCAACGAGGAGTTGCTTTAGCTTATTTGATCGTGTCACCGCTTGTAACCTTGAATTCCAGGTGGCTGCACTCTCCGGCTCGACGTGTGGTGGATTGGCTCTTGTCCATATATTTTCTCACATTTGAACTTGCCGACCATGGAACAATGCATCTTCAATGGCTGCACACCCAACGCCGCCGTCACCCCCGACGTCAAGTGCGCCTTTCACATGCATCGAGGACAGTGCCAGCTTCCAGGCTGCCACAACTAAGTGTATGCGGGCAATCAGTGCGTCTGCCGCGGAGGCAAACGGCAATGCCAATTCCAAGGCTGCACCCTCAACTCCCGCGTTGGTTGCTTCTGCACCAAACATGGTCCCGTAGATAGACACATTCTCAATCACTGTTCGATGGCCGTGTGCGATCGGCAGACGCGTTTACAAGGGCGGTGCTTTCGGCACAGCGGTGGGCGGCTGTGCAAGGTCGACGGGTGTGTGACCTTTGCACGCAACCGAAACTGGTGCCGCCGCCATACCGCCAAGATTACCAGCGCCTCTGTGCCGCTTTACGAAACCAGCGACGATTCGTAACTTGGCGCGATTGCCATCCCATGTTGCAATTGGAATGAGTTCACCAACTACGACTACAGGACCACCCCCCAACCGCTCCCACCGCTACAAGGCCCGCTCTCTCCATATAGCCCCCTCAAATCCACAACATGAACCTTCCAGCTGGTCCGCTGCGGGACTCCATGCATGCCCCCCGCAAGTCAAATGACGGTGGCGGCAGCAGCATCTACCGCCCATGTCGACAACCACCACGACGGAGGACGCATCCTACAGTACCTACTTAAAGACTTTGTGGATTTCCGCGACTTTGTACGTTGTCATGTTTAATTGAAAATGACCGTGGACATTCAATGTTGTAGTACCTACGAGACGAGTACATCAACAGCAACGCGTCGTTGATCGCATCACTGTATCGCGTGCGAAATCAACGGTAGTATTCAGTTGACAGGTGAGACACACACATGTTGATTGCGTTCAACAGCAATAAATTTATTTTTGACTTCTATTAGTTAAAAAAACAATTATTAAATTAATTTTGTCAGTATAAATAAATCTTCTATATTATTTAAATGATAAAGCTCTAGTTTCGTGAAGGAACTAGCCTCGAACAAATGCGGTCCATTGGTTGGTGGGTATAATTGCACCACAGTACTACCAACACCAGCGTCCGTACTGTAAAGATCGATTTATCGTTGTTAGTTACTACGTAGTACTACTAGCACGTAGTACACGACTACTAGGACGTGTTCTGTATTCTCAAGTCGATACTGAATTTTGTTTTCAGGGTGGGTCTGGATCACACCCCAATTTTTGCCCAATTAGTATTTTGAAAATATGGTTCAGAGTGATTCGAAGACTTTAGTTGTCGCCTATTTTTGACTGGATTAACAGTAAACTGATTTCGAAGAAAATTCAGTTTTCAGAAACAAAAGTCCCTTAAACCACTTTTTATTTTTCGGCAAAAACCGTGTTTATTTGGCAAAAACCTTGAATTCTCCAAATTTTGAATCCAGACAGAGAAAGTTTTAGTCTTTGCCGATTTGTTCGAAATTGCCAAAATATCGAAGATTTTGGCCTTCTATTTGACATCCAGACTTACCCTTACAGTATTTATCAACTAAGTACTAATACAGTATTAATACTAACGTTACCGGTAGTATAATTTTGAGTTCGTTGATGTGTACATACTACTGTGTTAATACCGGTACTACTGTACAGTACTGGTAGTACTACAGTAGACTAGTATGACGTTACGCTTACTGTTGTTACCAACAAACTACTGGGGCAATTCGGGGGACGAATTCAACTGTACGTCGGACGACGGTTTCATTGATCTCCCTCCGCCCATCCAACCACCTGGGCAACCGAATTCCAATTTAGAACGTCCGATTGATGTGCTGAGATTAACAGTATAACCATGCATCCATCTCACGACCAGTGATTTCTTGTCAGTTTGTTGAGGAGCTCTCGATATTTCGGTGTGTCCTGGCGAATGATTGGGCCACAACAGGAGCATGTGTTTACTGCTAGACAGCGACCTCGTCTACAAATTGCACCGAGGGCCAACTCAACTCACAAAGTCAACTGTAGAGCAATAGTATTACTGTACTGTAATACTAGTAGTACTACCGGTACTGTAGACCCGAAGTACAGTACTGTTCTGGACAGACCAAGCCAACGCTTTGATCTACCTTGCCTGGACTACTCATTCAATTGTGCGCCGCACCACTACACCTCATTTATAATCACTCTGAAGGCATCTCTAGACCATATTCTGGTCGCACGGGTATGTGCCATTTCCATCGATTTCTTTTCACGTCCACTCAGGCATGAATTTGTCCCAGCGTTTGGCCCGTTCGATCCAATTATATGAGAATCCACCGTACAGTATTGTACATTCACTCCGAAATGCCATATGGTTGTCATTCATTGTGTGGCCTTGACCTTGGCATGATTGTACGTTCACTTTGCCTTTTACATCAAACAATAAACATGACCCCGTGCTTCTTCAACGGATGTCCCAACCCCCCCTCGACCCCCCACTCGACCAAGTGCTTATTTCATTACCACCGAGGCATCTGCCTCGTGGATGACTGCCGCAACCAAGTGTACGCACGCAGTCTGTGTGTCCGCCACGGCGGCAAACGGCAATGTCAATTCCAAGGCTGCACCCTCAACAGGCGCGTGGGCGCCTTCTGCACCAAGCACGGGCCCACGGACGCGGTCCGGCGGTGCTCCCACGACGGGTGCTCGAGCCAAGCCCATTTGCGCGGCAAGTGCTTTCGGCACGGCGGCTGCCGGTTCTGCAAAGTCGACGGATGTGTCACGTACGCCCGGAACCGTGGGTACTGCGCCCGCCACACCCCCAAGAACGACAAAATTCACAGCGACCGCCTTGTCCAGTTCGAACAAGTCGAGCCAGCAACACCCCCCGATGTAATGTCGTGCAGCGATTTGTTCTGGATCCAGCGGGCCCTGTTGCAAATTGAACCCCCAATTTTGGACAATGCGACGACGCTGGGCAGTTCCGACTTGCACTGGCAAGAGACGCAAAGTTGGCACGACGTGATGACTTTCTTGCTTGCAGATGTGTGCTAGGACGATTAACTCCGGACTATTTAAGTGTACATGCTCCAAAATTGTTTGATGTTTTGAATTCATTTGGTATAACTGTGGGTCCTAGTTAAGTCCGCTAGCTGCCAAAGCAGCTAGTACGCGGCCGAGGCCATTAAGTGCCCGCTGAGCGATTTTAACTTTACAGCGTAATAACAATAACAATAACTGTGGGTCCATGGAGTTTGTGTTGGACGTGCCATGTTGACATGCACAAAAGTACACTAAAATTCTGGCACTCTATAGAAACTAGTTATGCTGACAGAATTTAACACTCTTCTTCGAAAGCCTCCAGCTTCAAATCGAGGCCAACATTCCAGATATGTGTATGTTATGGCAATTCGGATATCTGTATATGCAATGCACTTGTGCGGATTTGCAAAAACGACAACGCTATAGCTGGTACTGACAGTAGACAGGTACTTTCACTGGAGTGAAGCGTAAGTACTTATTAGTAAATAACTTTAGAATCACTCGAATTGGCAGGGTAGTAGTTTCAGCATCACTAGAATTGCCAATGTAGGGTGCATAGTTGTAAAGAATTTGAGTTCTTACAGCACTGTAATCCAAACTGGTCGGCACAGAACGGCTTAATATGGCAGGGCATAACAGTCCGTTGGTCAACCTGTTGGAAGGCAATGGATTCCAGCATCGTGTCCATCAGAGCAATATCCCACCACGAAAGTCTTGGCTGTCTCGCTCGTGATGTTCTCGTTGCCTTGAGTTTCCAGGAATGGAGCAGCAGAGTCAGTCATTCTCTTACTTTATGGGGCTCGTGAGACAGAGTCGGGTGGGTGGGTGATGTATGCCCCGATGAAAAGCATACATGGCACAGCCCTCGACGATGCAGAACCGACTGCCCCCGAGCAAATGGGTCTGAGCACCCGTCGTGGACACACGACCGCATCAAATGGGGCCATACTTGGTGCAAAAGCGCCTATGTGCGAACTCATGGTGCATCCTTCGAAGTCGCACTGCTTTTTGCCGCCAGCCGGACACACAGGTTGCGTGCGGACACTTGGAACTGTATGGCAGCCCTCCGTCACGTTGGCCGGTACTAAGCTTACCGGTATCGCTGACGTAGGTGGTAAGCTTACTCGGAATTGTGACTTTTCAAAACAATGGATGGGGCAGTGGGACCACCAGCGAAAGTATCAGTTTATCTACAATGTGCACCACTAACGTCGTATACTTGTACAAAGTCAAAGGTCGATACGATGTGCAATTCCAAATACGTTAGGGTAAGCTTCACGTTTATTTCCTTTTATGCTGTGAATATTGTCCTTTTCGTAAACGTTCGATCCTGAAAGCGTGGAATCAAATCTCGATGTGATCTACGGGCACTCACACGCAGGGTAGTTAGTGTACTGTAGTAGGTCATGTTAGATCTTTAAATGTGTACAATGTCGGAGGTTACTCTTCGCAATCAAAATTCAGCCAAAGAGTGACCAAAATGTCAAGGTCTCAGAGCGTATTGAAGGGCAACCTACTGTACTCGGTGTACTATACGTTTGAAACATGTTGTGGGCCTTATTCAACATTCCTTATGAACTCATTGTCCCGTCGCCAATGATTTCGACGTCGCAAAAAATGTGACAACACAACTCGAAATCTTTTCGGGTGAAATGAAACTCGCAATCGATTACACATGCTTGCATTGTACCGGTCGTACTAGTGGTAGTGGTACTGGGGCAAGCTGGTACTACTCCGGAGTAACAGTTAGGGACTCAACCACAATCAGCTGGGCTAGCAGCACATCCAACAGCACATTGGAATTCCTTCCTCGATTTAGACTAGAGTTTTTTACTAGCTGTTATTGGTACAACTGTAGTACTCCTGAGTAATAAATACATCGAAAGTCCATATCTCCACTTGACAAGGTTCCGCCAGATGCAAATCAAATGGACGTGAAATAACGTTAGCTGCTGCCCGATTCGAAGGGGGGGGGGAGGGGGTGCGTTGCTAGATAAACCGACGAAGGATTACTGTCACAGTGGTAATCGTCGTTACACTATTCAATCTAAATTGATACTAGTACTTTGCGCTGAAGCCCTCAGACGTATTACCCCCTATCACCCCCCACCACCTTGAGAGTAGTAACGTTACAAGGCATTCTGCTAACTCTCTCACTCAAAAGTATAGCAAGTCTATGCTACTGTATATACTACAGTATATAGAAATCCCAACACGTTAAATTCACTTTTGACACCCTGGGTCCCTGCATCTCCCTAACAACATATTTTGCCAGCACCATCCATTTTGCCCCAGCGTTTGGCCCATTCTACCGTAGATTCACTCCGAAATGCCATATGGTTGTCATTCATTGTGTGGCCTTGACCTTGGCATGATTGTACGTTCACTTTGCCTTTTACATCAAACAATAAACATGACCCCGTGCTTCTTCAACGGATGTCCCAACCCCCCCTCGACCCCCCACTCGACCAAGTGCTTATTTCATTACCACCGAGGCATCTGCCTCGTGGATGACTGCCGCAACCAAGTGTACGCACGCAGTCTGTGTGTCCGTCACGGCGGCAAACGGCAATGTCAATTCCAAGGCTGCACCCTCAACAGGCGCGTGGGCGCCTTCTGCACCAAGCACGGGCCGACGGACGCGGTCCGGCGGTGCTCCCACGACGGGTGCTCGAGCCAAGCCCATTTGCGCGGCAAGTGCTTTCGGCACGGCGGCTGCCGGTTCTGCAAAGTCGACGGATGTGTCACGTACGCCCGGAACCGTGGGTACTGCGCCCGCCACACCCCCAAGAGCGCTCAAGACCATCCAGTCAAATCCGACCAAGTCGAGACAGGATCCATGGATTTCATGTCACGCAGTGATATCTTGTGGGTACAGCAGGATATGTTGCAGATTGAACCCCTGTCGAGTAGCTATGCAACCTCAACTGTGTACAGCGACATTGAGTGGCAAGAGATTCAAGGCTGGGCCGAGGTGATGACTTTGTTGGCCGATGTGTAGGGCAGGAACTGTAGACATACTCGTAGTCTGTCCAGAATTATTTACTTGACCCCCACCACCCAATATATGTGATGTTGTTGTCATATCATGCTTTCGCGCCTTCTACAGATTGCACTTTCAAGCATTCGATACAGTACAGTACCTAGTGGCTTCGCTCGGGGTAGCCGTAGTTATTAGATTGGATAATCTCATATATAAGCCCGACCTATAGCTTGACGCCAAAAAATGATGGACCGCTGTGGACAATACATTGTTGGAACTTTCTCCATAGTAACGTTACTCACGAAGGTTCGACACTTGCAGGTACCGTACTACGTCAGTTCGTTAGTGTAATGTTAGCGGTAAATATGCTTCATAACGTTAGCGAAACTCTTCCATTTAAATGAGATTGGCCAGCTCCCAAGCAATTAATTATTCATGGTCACTTTACGATAATGAGGTTTAATAAATCAACTTGCGATCGCTCAATCGGCGGATCATTTCGGTCCTGGCCATCATGAGATGCTGCGAGGTGCACCAATTGCCTTGTGCCTACTTCATCGAAGGTACAAGCCAGTCGAGCTATCGATCCCATCAATTACTGAAGCATCCCCATCGATGACAACTCCACTTTGACCTACTTCTCATCGCCCCCTCTCGGGGGGCGGTCTTGGCTTGGGGGGGGCGTGGCGCTGCAGAAGCCCCGGTTGCGGGCATTTTTGCCGCACTTGACGTTGCAGAACCGGCTACCCCCGAAGCGGAAGCCCCGCAAGTGGCTTGAGCACGACCGCATCAAATGGACCGTGCTTGGTGCAAAAGCTGCCGATGCGCGAGTTGACGGAGCAGCCTTCGAAGCTGCCCTGCCCCTTGCCGCCATGCCGAACACAAAGGTTGCGCGAGTACACTTGGTTGCGGTACTGGTTGTCGAAAGTATACTTGCCCCGATGGATGGGGAACGAGTACTTGAACGAGTATGCTGATGAAACGCACATCTAGGAGATCATACATTTACATATAAAGGTGGGGTTGTCCTGTCATCGGTAGGTTATTGAAGAGCTACAGGGGGATAAGTCTATCGCAGTTCATCATAAAGTTGTTCAAGTCAGGTTTGGATGCAATTATTCATTCCAGAGGCTTGTGCAAATGTTGTTGGAACCAATCACTCGTTATAGATTGTGAGGCCATGTTATTAGGAATTCAGTGCTCCAATCAATCCTTCCAACTCATGCATTGAGGTCACGAATCCTGGGGCATTTGATCAATTTGGTCATTACATCCCGTTTGCGAACACGGTAAACAAACAATCGTCCGAAATAATAATATTTGGATCAAATTCCCCGGTACTCTCATGGCGAATGTTTCGGTCCCTGTGTCTTTTCTCATCTAGGAGCGTGCGGGAAATGACCAAAACAGCGAACCTCAAATGAATTGGCAGCATACCAAGCAGCTCGATCGCACTAGCTCTTATAGTCACACTAGGGGCTGAGGACTTTCGATTGGCCTTTCGAGGAGACGCGACAACCGGGACGCATGGCATGGTGTAGTGACTTCACAGTCAGCTCAAAACTGTTCGGTAATTTTAATGGACCTGACATTGAATTGTTTGAAATTTTAAAACCAATTAACATAATAATAAAACATTTCTTCAAATATGATGTGAAGTTGGTCAGAATTTATGATCAAAATTGATAGTTAACTAAGAAAGTACATGACTTTGACATCGAATATCTCTCTGACGGCTTGTCTATGAGCGGGGTAATGAATGTAGATATTGCAAACTTAGTTGCAGGCTATCGTTCAAAGCTAGAAATATGGCGATTGCAACATTGTAGCATGAGTGATGAGTCCTCAAAGTAGAAAAAAACGAAAATATAAGAGCATCCCCACCGGTGCGACTGTAAACGCTATTTTACAGTTCTATCCGGATTATTTACAGTTTTGACAACCCCACCGGGCGACTGTAAAATACAGGAAACTGTAAAATTTTACCGCGAGTCGGCAAATCGGCCAGATTTACAGTCGCGACTGTAAAATACAGTTTTGACGAATTAGCCAATAACATGCTATCAATGGATAATTTTGTCCAATCATGTGCGTTAAGGAGTCAACAATCAGTAGGTTCAGAAATGGAATCAGCCAAGGCTGTCTGTGGCTCCAACTTAACGAGTCCAAGGGTAGTACTCATCACGCATCACCACATCGTCCATGATTCGTTGAAACAGCGGTCTGGACATTCGAAAACGACCGCGAAACTTGGCTTCGCCGTTGATTGGATTGGGGCCAAAGTAGTAGGTAAATCCGAGCATGCGCAGCCTCGCTATCTCGTGGTAGGTTTGGCTGGCGGTTGGCAGTAGAGCCTTTAGGGCGCAGAAGACTGATGAAAGCCAAGAATCTCTCAAGCTTGATCCATGTCATCATCGTCGTCCTCCCACGCCATCATGCACAAACGTGCGTCAGGCGTTCATTTCCGGATAAAAACATTATAGCAGCAAGATGCATACTGTATTGCGCTTGGCAATGAGTCTGAAAGGAGGTTGGTGGTCGACGGAGACATAATAGGAAAATGAGTAACGTTATGACTAATTTCAACTTCATTAGCCTTTTTATACGAGTAAAAGATGGAGGAAATCATGCTTGGTTTACATGAAGCATCATAGCATACTACTACATTAAGCAGATTATTGACAACAAAGACTCTGACGCATTGCCTAAGAGCCACTCATGGCCAATATGAGGGACGCAAAAGCAGCGGCATGACAGCCCAACGCAACTGCGTGGCGTTCGCATCTGTACATCAAGACGAACAATCTCGACGACGAGTATACAAACTCTGAGTAAGAGTTTAATTTTGAAATATATACTATATAAACTGGTTTTTATATATAAACTGTTAAACCTAATATCCATTTTTCCAGAAAGTGGATTTTAACAACTATGTTTGGATTGCTGGAGTTGGGGCAAGTTTTGGATCCATCGGTTGAGGTCACACGTACAAACGAATCCTAGCATCTTTTACGATTTGAAAGCATTTGACTTTCCGCACGGGGCTGTACCTATTTGGATCAAATTTTGGCTACATTTTGGAGGTACAAGTCCCGCCGGAATATATTGTGTGTTCTACTCAAAATTTCCATAGGCGGTTGTTAAATCGCCCCGATCCGAATGTCTGCGAAATGACCCCAATAACAAAAAGTGGGATTTCTCTCACAAAACAATCGATAATAATCACCCCTATTATGACGCAGTTTCCTGAGCTGAGTCAATGGACGACGATCCAATCTTGCAGCATTAACACTTGAGCGCGTAGGCCTCGTAAGCGAGTTTCTTCGTATCCCCAGCACACATGCACACCTATGTACAGTACACACAAACATCACAAGTACACCAACTGGACGCCCGCGCTACCGCAACATGCAACTACACCTCGTCGTACTGCCCTTTGTGGAAAACTGAGTTGGATGTCCATTTTCTGCCCAAATCTTCGAAATTCTGACCAATGAAATCATCGCGGCTATTTGTTGGCGATTTTCACAATGACTCACAATTGGCAAGTTTAACCAGAAAGCACTATACTAGTCGTAGTATTAATAACTCACTGTCAACTAAAGTTAAGGAGTTTCCACCATCACCACCATCAAAGGTGTGTGATGTGAGCACAATGGCATGACCACTTTTGGCTGTGAATTGATTGCAGTGGTGTCAGGAGACGACTAATCCTTCTAACGAGTTTAGCTATAGTTCTGTACGACCAATTTCATTTCTGTAGGCTGCTTGAGCCCGCAGCACAATCTGACTGTGTGAGAGTGTAGGGAAGGATGCTATAAATTACTTGTTGCTTCTGGGACATTGTTAGTGCTACAGTAGCGTCAGAGTGTTCACGTATACTAACTATTAATAGTATAGTACTTCGGAGTACATGGGCATTGAATTGATATGAGGCCCTAAAGAGGGAATTGCTCCAAATAATTGATCAACGCAAACAATAACTGCTGTCACCTTCGAGACCGATTAAATCTGATTGGTCGCTGTGAACGGAGGGGTTGGGGCAAACTACTGTACAACTCATGAGACATGTGTGTCGTAACAGCCTTTGCAACCACTCATTTGACATGACATAGGGCTGCTGTCTTGCATCGACACACACTTCCTTTACAGTAGTTTACTACACAAGCTAACTACCGTATACCCCCCGCTTCAGTACATATTTGCGCCTGACGAACATATTTATACTTGGTTGGGCGTGTACCTAGTTATCTCCAATTGGACAGAAATAGCCAATCACCAATTTTTAATGTATTTCATCCAATGAAGTATAAGTCCTGTGATGGATTTAGACCAATGCGCATCCCTGAATAGTTTTCACGGTAGCTGTACCAGTTTTGATGAGATTTCACTGTCACTGACATTTTCATAGGTACTACTAGTACAGTACTGTAGGACTACAAAGTACTAAGTTCTACCAGTACAGTGTTAGTACCGACTGAAGCGGGGGGTATACGGTAGTACAAGTGATCGATGAATAACGACACAAGTAGCCGACGCTATACCGTACAGTACTAGTACAGCACTACCTGTAGTAGTTGAGTTGCTACGAATGACATCGTTTCGCGTCAGTCACCGCAAGCATTAATTCCAGAGCGACAGCCTCACTCAAAACGTTACAGTAGATCTCGTATTTCGTATACTTGGTATACTCTACGAGTACGTACTGGTGCAAACAACTACTAGTAAGTACTTCAAGTACGTCGAAGTTGTACAGTACTAGTACTGTACTACTCCGGGTACTAATAGTGTACTACTGTATGGCTGGTTATGGCATAATCTTGCTGGACAAGAGTCACATGATCCATCGCACAACGCCTAAAGAACCCTTTGGAATATGGTATTCTCGCCCAAAGCCATCCCGTAGTCAAATGGTTGCGACCACCAAGGACAGCCCAGGTTACACCGTTATACTATGTATGCATGGACATACACAACGTGTACGATTCTACGTACAAGAACAACTGTCCATGGTGGTCATAGACAGAGAGGCTAAACACAAACGGGTACTAGCACTTGATTGCGCGCTGATATTTGTTACTCCACATGGTAGTGGCCTAATCAAATTTGCGACAGCATATAGTACTAGTACAATGTAGTATATTACGTAGTACTAGTAGTTGTGCATCCACCATCACCACCACAACGCCGTAGCTGTATTCGTTTTTTTGTTTCGATTCTGCACTTGGCGTTTTCTCATATCACGGTGCATAGAATCCATCTATCCCTCTGGCAACAACAACTTGATCACGACACATCAAACGCATGGTACTGCCTACATTTCTTCAGCGGCACCACAACCACCATCACGACAGCAGCGCCAGTTTAGTGGCCGACGTCACACTAAACGACATTTTGTCCCCGTCGTACTGGGTCGACAAGAAAGATCGCGTGGGGTGCGCCGACTGTGGCCTCAAGTTCAACAACTTGTATCGGCGGCGTCACCATTGCCGCCTTTGCGGCGATCTCTTTTGCAAACCATGCGTTGTGCACACGCGTCTCGTGTGTGCCGTTACGACGACGACGTCGTTGTCCCCCAACATCAAAATCTGCCGCGGGTGCGCCAACAACGACCAAAACTCGCCGACGTTGACGGGTTCGGCCTCGTCCTTGGCCATGATGTCCATGTTTACACGGCGACCGTCGACGACTAACTCCAAGCCCGTGAGTTGGGGTCAGCTCAGCCAATCCTGCCGTGGCCGACTCGTGTCTGCTCCCCCGGGTACCACGGAAGATAGCTTCACCACATCTACGTCTTCGAGGCCCTTGAGCCACCACCACCACCATCACCGAACGAAAAGCCAAGTTCGAGGGGGAACGACCGTATCGACAACAACTCACCGTGCCAACCACCAACAACGAACACCCATAGACTTGATGCCCACGGAATCACCCCCCCCCACCTCGCAACCACGAGCAGTACCCTCCGCAACAACCACTCGGTTGGTGGTTTTGGACGAGTCAACGTTAAGCAGCCGATTGCTCCAGATTGTCGACACTTCCACGGCCACCCAAACGCAGTTGGCTAGCCAGCAACATCACATGGTGGAAACCCTCACCAGCCATACGGATATGATTCAGCGACTGGCCCTCGCCATCGAGCGGATGGAGTCCAAGCTGGCTTCGCCACTCGACGAAAACAACGCGCCGTCTCCAATCGCAGGAGCGTAGTGCAGTTGTATATATATGTACTGTATACCTGTAGTTGAACCCTATTTATATTGGTAATTCCACCAACGACTTGTCTTTAACATATCCAGCGCACCTTTGCAGTGTACAAGTAGAGAATTTGGCTGGGTTCCGAAAAAGTGGGCTAGCGCACAGTATACATGTACAGTACAGTGTTGAGAAACAGTAATGCAATTGATAAATAACTGCTCTGGAAAAAGTGCGTCTATAGTTTGCATCACCCTGAAAAATGTTTTTTTGTCATTTTCAAAACAAGTACTTCGAATTTTATAGTGTTGTCAACGACAATACTTTTCGAAACTCAAATAATATATCATAAGTATCAAAACAGCGAGCTTCAAATCGAAATAATTTTTGAGAAATGTCAAAAATTCACGTGCTTCTACTATAGTTTACTATTAATAGTACATCAGGACTTTATAATCATAGTGTTACCAGTGTCAATTCATGCTCACAGTCAGAGTAATAGTATCAAGAATCAAACGAACGGCGTTGGACAACCCCATGAATTTACACTGTCTGTACTGCACACAAACACGACAAGACACCAAGGCGAGCCTACTACACTTGTACTACGTAGTACTGTACGTACTGTACTTCAAGGTAGTACACAATCGACAGAAAAGTAAGGAATCGAATAACACGGATGCATTTGAGTCACTGTGAGTTTTTGGACTGACTGTACTTTTGACCAGACAAGCCCAAAATTAATTCGACAAAGTTTGAATCCTGAATCCCGTACGTTGTGAACAATACTGTACCGTGTGGAGATTGTCAGGGCGACTACTACATAAAGTTAGCATTGCAACTTGAAGAACCCGTTGCGTCAGTATGTACTTGCATACGACCTCATCAACGTCAGTGCCCGAAACAATGGCGGATTTGTTTTCGAATAGAGTACACCCAAAAATTGCTTAAGGTATCACTTTGATGCTTAGTCGTTAGAAGTATACTAACGTTAGTAAAAGAATTCATGAAAAAGGTGGCCCCAACCGGTGATCGAAACCGGGACCTCCTGCACCCAAAGCAGGAATCATACCACTAGACCATTAGGGCTGGCATAACGAAAACTTCGATGCTGCACATCAGTAGGCACACTTCAGCAAATTGGGAATAACTGCGTACAGTAGGACCTATTTTGGCCGATTTTTGCATCAGACACGTTGGCACGAACACGAACTTGATGTCGTGGACCACATGCACATCCATCTCTGCCCCGCCTGTCTTGCATCAGACACGTTGGCCTCACCAAACGCAAAATCAGTTTGTGAGTTCGACAACGATGTCAACTCTTCCTACAGCAGAGGTGAGGTGTAACTGCCACTCCTAGATTACCCCACTTATGCACGCCAATCCTAGATTACCCCACTTATGCACGTCAAACCACAACCAGCACTAATTCAGATCACACGCACCCCCCACCCGTGCGAAGCCGGGTCACGTTCACTAGTCTATATATATAAAGTAGTAAGTGTGTCTGTCTGTTTGTCTGTCTGTTTGTCACGTGTGTGCGTTCCAGCCTTTTGATTGGTCAAAAATGAACTCTTCTTACTGTTTGATTCGTTCAAACACAAAATACTGCGTTTTGATTCGCTCCAAGGCCATAATTCAACCAATCATCAAAGCTATAGTCTCAGGATGCATCCAATCGACCAATCAGGAACGAGGCAAATCCAATTATGCGAGTTCAGCCAGCCACGTCATTGACTTGACTTTTGTATACCATACTAACTTCCATACTAAAAAGTGAAAAGTACCAAATCGACTCAGGACATCACAGCCAACCATTGAGTTGACTTGAATTTTGTATACCATACAAATTTTTATACTAAACCATGAAAAGTTGCAAATCGACTCAGGACATCACAGCCAGCCACGTCATTGACTTGACTTTTGTATACCATACAAATTTCCATACTAAAACCATGAAAAGTACCAAATCGTATTACGACATCACAGCCAGCCACGTCATGACTTGACTTTTGTATACCATACAAATTTCCATACTAAAACCATGAAAAC